ATGTAACCCTGTATTTCTATAAGCCTGTAACTAGGTAACCCTGTATTTCTATGACCCTGTAACTATGTAACCTTGCAACTCTGGTAACTGTGAACCTGTACCACTCTGTAAACTCTATAACACTAGTCACTCCTGTAAATCTGTGTAACTCATTGTATATCTGTATTTTCATAGCCTGCACTCCTGTGACCTTGTAAGCCTATAACCCTGCTCACACCTTACACTATTGTAAACTCTTGTAACTCCAGTCACTCTGCGCGACCGTCTGTTCACTCCTGTAACCCTGTGAAACTCTGTAAAACCTGTAACCCGTTTGCCTATACTGTATTACTCTGTAAACTCTTGTTTAACTTCCCTGTCCATTTACTGGTAAACCCTGTATTCCTGTAGCTTGTTCCCATTCCCTGGACGCTCTCCATATAGCTTACACCCTAGTAACCCTGCAATTATGTAACCCTGTCTATGATACAACTCTGTGCGTTCCTTCCTGCCCCCCCCCTTGTAACCCTGTATCTTTATGATCCTATGATTCTGCCACTCTGTAACTCTGCCCACCCTATAATCCTGCCACCCTGTAACCCTGCAAACCCTGCTACCTTGTAACCCCCGACATACTGTATACTTTGGGCCAACCCTTGTTATCCCTATCACTCTGTAGCACTGTAACCCTTTCACCTGGTCGACCCTGGTAATCCCTTTCACCCTGTGTTCAACCCTGTAAATCCTTTCATTACCTGGTTTCACCTCATGTAGATTCCTTCACCCTGGTAACCCTTCTCATCCTTTCACCCTGGTAACAATCCTTTCATTCCCTGGTCATCTGTAATAATCTTTTCACCCTGTTTCCTTCTTTCACCCTTTCACCCTGGTTATCCTTTTTCACCCTGGTCAACGCCTGTATCCTTTCACCCTTGTACAGCGCCTTTCACCCTGGTATCCTTTCACCCTGGTATCCTTTCACCCTTTCACCCTGGTATCCTTTCACTCCTTTCACGCCTGGTATCCTTTCACCCTGGTATCCTTTCACCTTTCACCCTGGGTCATCCTTTCAACGCCTGGTTATCCTTTCCACCCTGGTATCCTTTCACCCTTTCACCCTGGTCCTTTTCACCACACCTGGTATCCTTTCACCCTTTCACCCTGGTCACCCTGTAATCCTTTCACCCTGTAACCCTTTCACCCTTTCACCCTGGTAATCAGCTTTTCACGCCTTCACCGCTGGTATGCCTTTCACTTCCTGGTATCCTTTCAACCCCTGGTATTGCCTTTCACCCTGGTATCCTTTCACCCTTTCACCCTGGTATCCTTTCACGCGCTTTCCACTGGTTCACCCTGTATCCTTTCACCCTGGGGTATCCTTTCAACCCTTTCACCCTGGTATCGCTTTCACCCTTTCACCCCATGGTCACCGTCTGTAATCCTTTCAACCCCTGTAACCCTTTTCATCCCTTCGTCACGCCTGGTAAATCCTTTCACCCTTTTACCCTGGTATGCCTTTTCACCCTTTCAACCCTGGTACCCTTTAACCGCTGGTATCCATTTCACCTCTGGTATCCTTTCACCGCTGCCGTATCTTCTTTTTCACCCCTGGTATCCTTTACGCGCTTGGTTATTCCTTATTCAACCTCTTTCACCCTGGTATCATTTTTCACCCCTTTCACCCTGGTATCCTTTCACTACCTTTCACCCTGCGTAATCCTTTCACCCTTTCACCCTGGTATCCTTTCACCCTTTCACCCTGGTGCAGCGCTCTGCTATTCTTTCAAAAACCCTTTTCACCCTTGGTTTACTCCTTTCACCCTCGTTGGGTATCCTTTTGCTTATTTTACTGGTATCCTTTTCAACGCTGGTATCCTTTCATCCTTTCACCCTGGTCACCCTGTAATCCTTTCACCCTGTAACCCTTTCACCCTGGTATCCTTTCACCCTGGTATCCTTTCACCCTTTCACCCTGGTTCATCCCTTCAACTCTTTTTCCCCTGGTATCTCCTCACACCCTTTCATCCCTGGTATCCTTCACCCTTTCAACCCTGGTATCTTTCAGTTCCCTTCTACGTCTTTCACCCTGGTATCCTTCCTCCACTCCTTTCACCCTGGTAAATCTTTCTTATTTCCACCCTGGTATCCTTTCACCCTGTTTGTATTCTTTCCACCCTGGTATCCTTTCACCCTTTCTTACCCTGGTATCTTCTTTCACCACCTTTTTTTCACCCTGGTATCGTCGCTTTCACCGCGCTGGTATCGGCTTTCACCTTGGGTATTTCTTTCTACACCCGGTATCCTCTTTCACCCTGGTATCCTTTCACCCTGGTAATCCTTTTCACGCCTTTGCACCCTGGTATCCTTTCATCTACCCTTTTCACCGCTTGGTAAATCCTTTTCACCCTGGTATTCTGTTTCACCCTGTTGTATATCTTCTTTTCACCCTGGTATCTCTTTCACCCCTGGTTACTCTCTTTTCACCGCTTTTCTACCCTGGTATCCCTTGTCAGCGGCCTTCACCACTGGTATCGTTTTCACCCTTTCACCCTGGTATCCTTTTCACCTGGGTGACTCATTCTTCTACCCTTTCCCATCCCTGGTATTCCTTTCCACCCTTTGGTATCATTTCACTCCGGTCATCCCTTTCACCTTTCACCCTGTATCCTTTCAATTCCCTTTCACGTTCCTGGTATCACTCTCTTCACCTTCTTCTTCACCCTGGGGTATCTGCTTTTTCACCCTTTCACCCTGATATCCTTTCACGCTGGTATCATTTCACCCTTGCGTTATCCTTTTCAGCCCGCTGGATATCCTTGTCACGCTGGTTATCTCTTTCACCCTGGTATCCTCTTTTCAGTTCTGTTTCTTCTTTTCTTTCACCCTGGTAAATTCTTTCACGTTGTTTCTTCTACTCCTGGTATGCCTTTTCACCGCTTTCACCCTGGTAATCTTCTTTCACCCTTTCACCCTGGTATCCTTTCACCCTGGTATCCTTTTATCACTCGTATTCCCTCTTCAATCCTGTATCACTTTCACCATCTGTATTTCCGTTTCACCCGTAATCTTTCATTTCCCCTGGTATCCTTTCACCCTGGTTCACCCTTGGTATCCTTTCAACTTTCTACCCTTTCACCCTTTCACTGCGTTATCCTTTTCACCCTTCACCCTGGTATCCTTTCACCTTTACCCTGGTACCTTCAACCTTTCACCCTGGTAAATCCTTTCATCTTTCACCCTGTATCCTTTCACCCTGTAATCCTTTCCACCCTTTCACCTTGGTCACTGTAACCCTTCACCCTTTCACCTTGTCACCCTGTAACCCTTTCCCCTGGTTCACCCTGTAATCCTTTCACCCTTTCACCCTGTAACCTTGCCAGTCTTTAACTCTGTCACCCTGTTACTCTACCATCCTTTAAACCTGACACACACATATTGGTTATTACTTCCGTCAAGGTTATGATTTAAAATGGTAAGTGCTTGCTTGCTTGTTAGTTTGTTTGCTTGTTTGGTGGTTAACAAGATATCTCGAGAAGTTATGGAGAGATTTTTATGTTTTTTTTATTGTTTTTTTTTATTATTTATTTGTTTATTTATGTTTTTTCTTTTCTTTTCTTTACAGGAGGTGTGTCTTAGCCGGATTTAGATGCCTTTAAATTTTTTTGTTTTATTTATCCGAATCCAGGATTTTTTTTTAGAATGAATGCATGGGTTAACCTTAGTACAAATGCAGCTCAAAAAGTTATTAAACATTTTTTATGAATTTTTAACCAGAGGCGTGTTTTAGAATAACTTAGATTCCATTAAATTTTGGTGTTAATCCCGACCCACGAGTGTTTTAATTGATTGCATAAGTTATCCCCAAATGCCTTTTCACGCTAAGGAAGTTATGTTTACAAACGTCACCTGTATACTTGAGAAAGACGATTTAATATAATTCTTCAAGTGTGATTATTCTTTTATATCAGTGATCCTGTTGCCTTGGCAGTGGTATGCGCTCTCTGGGTGGTTCTAGTTATTATTGTCATTTCCACTTATTATTATTGTTAGTTATTGCAATCATTATCAATGGTATTATTATTATGATGTCCAGACAATGCCATATCGTTTTCATCAAGATCATCATAGCATCATAATCTTCACTGTTATCACTGTCATTACCATAGTCATAATTATTGCTATTAATAATATTATCATCACAATTATCAACATCTCTATCTACCCATCTACATATGCACAGACACACATATATATAAGCACACACGCTTTTTTTTTTTTTTTTTTTTTTTTTTTTTTTTTTTTTACATAGTTGCCGCGTGATAAATATCGTCTACGGATGCATTTAGGGACGAAAATCTTATGCCAGAGAAAGGAAAGTACCAACGTATTGTATTTTTTCCGAGAGGCGTTCAGAGTTCCGGCAACGCGTCGTGCAATATTACGTCATCGCGGTCTGACGTCATCGTTTAAGCTCCGCCCCTCCAAACCTGAAATTTGTTACTAGAGGCCAAACTCGTACCTATTAAGCTTATTTTTTCACCAAAGAAGTCTGGCTATGTTTTTGATTTATAATGGGAATACGTTGGCTATATATCCAGATTATTCTATATTTACAAATCAAAGAAACAAACCATGAACACGGAAATTATTTTCACTGGAAATATTTGGAAACTTTTCCTCTCGGGTAGACAGTGTCTCAATTAATTTCTCCGATTTTGTATATCAATACTGTATACATAAAGTTTGAACATGTAATATGGCTTTGATAGCAACGAATATGATAAACTTGTAAAGATCTTGTAAAGTGAAGGATATTATATAAACAGGCTCATATAAAACCGATAAAAAAGAAAATAACTAAAACTAATTGTCGTTACTGTAATCTCTCCTTTGCAGCGAAAACAAAAACCAATATAATTTTCCTAAAGCCCCATCATGCCAACTCCATAAATAAGTGCTGACCGATTTCTGTACTTTAATCTCCTTGTGCTTATTTGCATATTGTTAAAATGAAATGAGCT